TTCCGAAAAACAATTGCCTTGAAAACTGCAAGGACTCGTCCAAAGCAGTCACCGTAGAGTCAGTAACGACTGAGCGCGGACAAAAAAAAAAAAAAGCAATGCAACCTTGATGTAAAAATGCAAAGAAGAAAAATGCAAAGAAAGCCCTCCTCTCCTGCAGTTCATGGGAAGTTAAGCCAACTGTGGAAGAGGAATTCTTTGCTATCCACAGCTAGTAGGAAACAAAGTCACAGGAACATCTTCAAACTTAAAATGTTAATATTTGAAAGGAAGTTTATTCAGTAAATATTTCAGAAATATCCTTGCCTTGGGAAAGGGCATTATTGAAGAACATGCTGTACAGGCCCTCCAATTTTAATACTTTTCTTTGCTAAAGTCAGCCAGTACTGTTCACTTACTACCTTATTCTGTTGCAATGTCTAGATTCAGTACACTAAACTGAGGAGGCCATCTCAGTATAAAGCAATACGCTAGTTATACTTACAAGCATGCCACAGCAGTGAGCAGTTACAGGGTCAACATTTTTCTTTCTCATTTAGCTTGTCCTGCAATTAGAGGACAATGAATTGCTGAAACAGGACACCTTTAGGACAATAGGGACATTAGATATTTTAGATGCTGCTTCGCTCACAAAGGACCCATTCAACAGAAAGTAAATTGAGGCCACTGTTCTCGGCTACTTCTGATAATGCCTTCTATATTTCCTAACTTTCCAGCTCACCTCTGTCTCTTTTTTATTTATTTTTTATTTTGCAGGAAATCCTGCACTGGGCTGCACGTGCCCATCATTTTAATTTTCTTGGAAATCTTGGAAATAAAAGCAATGTTGGAGGGTACGGCTTTGCAACATGCCCATTTTCTGTATAAATGTATAACGTATGTGGGAGGGAAGGTATAGATACTCTTTTTAAACAGTTAAGTCAAGCAGGGCCTTATGCAGTCAAGGAAGGTATCTATAGCCACAGGTATCAGGGAAGTCTGCAAGGTGGCATCAAAAAAGTAAAGCTGATAGCTACAACAGTGTGATGGAAGCACTGTTTTTCACGTTTTTGATGTACCCTGGGGACACCCCTGGCTGACATGTTAATTGGCTGTATTATAATAGAACATTGAAGGCGAGCAGGGGGGACGATAAGCATGTTTTTTACTTTTCTAAAATCACTTCATAATTTCATAGCTAAGCAGGATTTTGAACTTGGCTTAGTCAGCAAACCTGTTAACACCTCCATTGTGTCACATCATCTTCACACAGGGGAAAGGAGCTAGCTCTGCAGGTTAGCTTGCCCGCGTTAGGGCCTGTTCCTTCAGCCCCATGTGCAAGTGCAGCGCCCTATAGGCCAGAGCAAAGCAAAGGGTATTTATTCAGGCAAATGCCCAACCAGGCCAATTATAATGAGGGAGAACCCTGAGGTCAATCTAAGCTGGCACAGCTCTTAGTGCCTTTTTCTGGGCAAATGCGTACACACATCTAGAGCAACACATGAGAAAACGTTCCTGACAGATATTGCAGGTAGGCGTTTATGTTGGTGAGGGAAAGAGAAATAGTATGACGGAAGACGCTCATCGGTTTCCTATACAAAGCCATCGTATGCGTGTTTACTCAGAAGGGGGAGTCTGCCAAGTTCAGGGGAGCTTATACTCGGGCAACAGTATATCGGATTGGAGCAGGCCATGCTTATAGCACCTGGAGTTGCTAGCACATCTCCTCCGAGCTCTTGGCTGCAGCTTCACCTAGAGATGGTATCGGGGTGTGTTAATTTTCCATAATGACCTTAATCCAGTGATATGAATGGCATTGTGAGAAATTATAATGTGCATCAAGGGAATTCCCAAACAGTAGACTCAGAGCAATCTTTATCTAACATACCCCAGGGTGGCC